TCAGGTTAAGAACGGACCTCCGGAACGAATTAAGTTCATAACCAGAGGTACCACTGTATTTTTTATTTTGGCAGAAAGAGAGTGATTTTGTGGTAGAGATATTCCTGAAAATTCACTCCAGACCATTGATGTTTGGAAGATAAATTGGCCTTCTTTCCTAATAACAGCAAGATTGTCACATAGCCTCTCAGCAAACAAACTGTTCAAAGTGAGGTCCTCACTCATAAGCTTGGGTAGGTCTCTGTGACATCATCATCTAGCCAACTCTGATTGGCTAGGAAGGCTGGCTGTTGTTGTTGTTGTTGTTTAAATGGCAATAGAGCAGCAGCCAACGGAGGTCACAAAGAGGCTCAAAACCTCTCAGGCCAGCTGGCACCTTGATGGGAATGCAAATAACCCCTTCACTTGTCACCAGATAGATCATTTGATGAGTGCAGAAGTGGCAGTCATCTTGCTTTTCTGTTGATCTGCAAGGTGTGGGTGGCCTAGGACCCTCGTACCTACGGGACCGGCTCTCCTGGTATGTCCCACAGAGGACCTTACGGTCTTCAAACAAAAATGTCTTGGAGGTCCCCGGCCACAGAGAGGTTAGGCTGGCCTCAGCCAGAGCCAGGGCTTTTTCGGCTGTGGCTCTGATCTGGTGTAACGCTCTGCCACAAGAGACTAGGGCCCTGCGGGACTTGACATCTTTCCGCAGGGCCTGCAAGACAGAGCTGTTCCACCAGGCCTTTGGCCAGGGCACAGCCTGACCCCCTCCTTTGGCAATCCTCACAGAACTCTAGCCCAATGGTTGCCATTAATCTGATTTGAATTGATTTTAGAATGAAATGATTTTAGAATGTTGTATCATTTTAATGTTGTTAGCTGCTCTGAGCCCTGCTTCGGCTGGGGAGGGCGGGATATAAATAAATTATTATTGTTGTTGTTGTTGTTGTTGTTGTTGTTGTGGGGGGGTCCAGAGAATCCTGTGTGACAGCCATGTGCCATCTGGTGGTCATGAGTGCACATTGTCCTCAGGGCAAAAATCCCCCAAACCCCCACCCCTGTTCTAGGGAACAGTTATCTTAAGCCTTATCAGCACTTGGCAGCTTTCCCCAGGTATTTAGTAGCAGAAGGCGCTGACTTTCTGGGCCACTGGGCCGTTCCCATGTAGTCAACTGCCAAACCGGCTCCAAAGTTCATAAACAAAGGCAAAATAGCTTAGACATCCTCAGAGCAGCTCTGTTTACTTTTGCAGAGTCTGGGTCAAGGGGTGCAGCAACACCTGCCGTTCCTTCTGACAAAGCCAAGTGAGCTGATAGCAGCAACTGTGGTTGTGGCCTGGTGGGCCTTAGGAGGGCCAGAGTGAAGTTGATTGGCCGGACTGTGCTCTGCTGATAGCCTTGATGGAGAAAGGCAGCTTTCCCAGCAACAGTGAGCCGGTTATGTCAGAATTTCTTCCCAAAGGCATCAGAGCATCTCTTTTTAAATATCTAGTACACTCCCTCTAGGGATGCGGGTGGCGCTGTGGGCTAAACCACAGAGCCTAGGACTTGCTGATCAGAAGGTCGGGGGTTCGAATCCCCGGGACGGGGTGAGCTCCCGTTGCTCGGTCCCTGCTCCTGCCAACCTAGCAGTTCGAAAGCATGTCAAAGTGCAAGTAGATAAATAGGTACCACTCCGGTGGGAAGGTAAACGGCGTTTCCGTGTGCTGCTCTGGTTTGCCAGAAGCAGCTTAGTCATGCTGGCCACGACCTAGAAGCTGTATGCCAGCTCCCTCAGCCAATAAAGCGATTTGAGCGCCGCAACCCCAGAGTCGGCCACGACTGGATCTAATGGTCAGGGGTCCCTTTACCTTTTTGTACTCCCTCTGCTTCCAGAAGAGTACAGTATTAAAGTTGGAAAACCATTGAACTCACTCCCACAAGAAGCAGTGATGGCCGCCAACTTGGATTGCTTTGAAGAAGATTCAACAAATTCGTGGGGGATAAGGCTATCAGTTGCTACCAGCCACGATGGCTATGATCTGGCTCCATGGTTGGAGGAAGCAATACTTCTGACTACCAGTCTCTGGAAGCCACAGGAGGGGAGAGGGCTCTTGTGCTGGGGTCCTGCTTGCGGGTTTCCCACACGCATCTAGTTGGCTACTGTAAGAATAGGATGCTGGAATAGATGGGCCCCTGGCCTCATCCAGCAGGCCCTTCTTCAGCTTGTGTTTTGTGGTCCTCAGCAGCACACACACTAAAAGAGGCTGGTTGATTGAAGCAAGCAATGTTATTTTGTTATTTACAAGCAGAGGTTTTTTAAAAAACCACCCCCCTCCACTTTAAAGCTTCGGTACGCATCACTCACTGGAACACGGGTGCCTGTGATTAAAAATGGCAGGCTGCATTGCATATTTTGACGTGGCGCACATTGTGTGAGCTACCTCGCCATTGCTTGTTGCCAAGTTTCAAGGTTCATTGTTCCCATCTTTGCTAAAGAACCTTTCAAATGTTCTATTTACTGGCACGGCTAGAAAAATAAGAAGCAAGGGGGTGGGGGGGGTAGGGGAGGAAGACGCTTGCTACATCTGTGCAGGGAGAATTCTCTTGATTCCCTACCTTTCATTTCAAAGTCTTTTCTTTTAGCACCTGTCCTTCGGTTCTGTACCTCTGCGCACAGTCAATCATTCTCCTACTGAGCAAATAACATACATCATATGACAGCAGAAGTTAGGAGAAAGCTTTGTTACCCTTTCCGTGTTCATTCATAATGCACCAATGGTGGCGGTGATGGCTGGGAGGACGCTACAGAATGGAGTTTTGTCCCGATTTTGTCAAAAGAGGCCCCCCGAATTCTCTATCACCTCTTGAATAATAAAAAGAAGAAGAAGACTGACTTCTCAAGGCAAAAATAATAATAAAAGGAGCTGTGTCCTTGAAGGCTTGCATATTACAGGGAAAAAGTCAGGGCTTTTTTCTCCAGCTGGAAATCACTGGAACTCAGTTCTGGCACCTCTCAAGGAACAAGGGAGGCATTCATGGTGAGTTCTGGCACCTGGTACAAATAATAGCCAACCGGTTTGGGAGTGGGGAACCTCATGTGGCCCTCCAGACCTCTTTGCCTGGCCCTCTGTACTCTCTCCAGGACACAACCTTTGCCAGCAATGCTTCACACACCCTCCTTGAATGTTTGTGCCTGGCTGCTATAGGTCCTCCCCGCATACAGTACAAGGACACAAGTTATCCAGACAAATGATAGAAAAGTAAGGTTGGTAATGGCTGTGACCTGGGAAGAATCTCAAGAGCCATACAGAGACGTTTAGGGGGCCATATTCAGCATTTGGACCTCACATTCCCTATTCTTGCTGTACATCAAGATATTCAATGGATCTCCACCAGAGTAGGACCTGTAAGCCTGGATTGTTTTGGCCAGATATACCCCTAAGCTAGATGGAATAGTGGTCTAACCGGGGGTAAAGCAGCTTTCCCTGTCTCAAGAAATAGGTAGCATTTCCACCATACTTGAAAGCTTTGGAAAAGCCTAAGGACATCAGCTTAGGTCACATATACACCACACATTTGCAAATAATCATGGGAACTGTAGTTTTTTAGGGTGCTGGGAATTGTGAGGAGTCTCTTAAAAATTCTCAGCACCTGTAACAAACAAACCACCATTCTCACAATTCTTTGTGTGAGCAGGGAGAGAGCCAGGAGTATTAAAGAGGTATAAGAGTGCTTTAAATGTATGGCATGCAGATGGGACCCAGACTGAAGATAGCTGCTCCTTTTCTCTTCCATGCTGCTAAGCAGACACTCTGCCCTGGCCTGTGAACTATGGGAGAAACACACCTCATTTTCCCTTTCATCGACACCTCTTTGCCCGAAACATTTGCCCATCTCTGCCATTGACTAATTGCAAAGGGAAGTGTGCTCAGCAGCCACCGCCAAGACTTTTCCAGTCAATTACGCAAGTGGGTTCCCATCACACAAAGTCTGCCATGTTCCTCCATTTTTCACGTTTGACTGTTGCCGGGCAAAACAATGCCGAGACAAAGGCAAAGGAAAACAGAGAGATTTATCCAAGTCGTCACTTGCAATGGGAGCTGACAGGCTCTGTAATGTTACATGCTCTATACAAAAAGGAAGATCATTGTATTGCGGAGCGCAAGAGAGAATCCTTTGTGAGAGCCTCTCATGTTCCTCCTGCTCTCTGCTTAATGGAATGCCCATCATCACCTCCCGCTGTGCTGAGAAGGAGCCTAATTCTCAGCTGCAGGAAGCACCAGCGGATAACGCCATCCCGCCAAGCTCAGGTCAAGCAGAGTGGGCTGGTTCAGAAAGGTCAACCCAATTTGGTGGCGGTGGTGGAGCATCTCCTTCACAAGGGAAGGCTAAAGAAAGGTCGCTGTTGAGATAACTGGGTCAACTACCTGTTGAAAACTATTAGTATGCAGAGTGAGCAGCATTTAGCTGGTGAATCTCGGTTAGAGAATAGATTTTACCTGTTGCAATCTCACAGGCAGAGAGATGCTTGTAGATAAGAAAACAATACAGTTGTTCATTGCAAGGAAATGCATAACGTGGATAGAGGGGTTTCTCATTTTAGTCTAACTAGTGGAGCAAATACCAAGGCAGCCTTGCTTGTTCCTTTGTTCTCTCAGAGGATAGTTAAAGATGTCCTCTCACCTTGAGGTCTGAGAGAGAAGTGTGAGGAGGAAGAGGTAAACAGGATACAACCCCAGAAGTATCAGTGTTAATAACAAGGAGACAGAGAAGTAAGGTGATAGCTTTTATAAGTGAAATATCCTCAGAGTGCATTTTGGATCCTATTCAACTTGGTACATAACAATAAGTAAGGTGAAAGGTAGAGAGAGACAGTCTCTCTGTCTTACCTTCCACAAACCCTTCTTCAGTATGCTGAGTTGCAGCTAAACTTCCAGCAGTTGCAAACATGTTGTCCTACTGAAAATAGAATTGTAACATTGGAAGGGACCACAAAGGTCATCTAGTGAAACCCCCAGCAATGCAGGAATCCTTTTGCCCAATGTGGGGCTCAAACCTATGGCCCTGAGACTAAGAATCTCATGCTCTACCAACCGAGCTATCCCGCAAGCTCTGGACTACAACTCCGATCAGCACAGGAGTTGTGCTGGCAGTTCCCTCATTACGAGAAATGAGGTTACAGGGAACCAGGCAGAGGGCCTTCTTGGTAGTTGTGCTATGGCATTCTTCTGTATCCTTGGCTGTTCTTCAGGCCTGACTCTTGACTTGCCCTTCAGCCAGGTTTATTCTTCAAGTGGCTTGCCCCACAGCTTCTGGTTTCTGCCTCTTGGCTCACCTGAGAAGGTTGTAGGTTCAATCCCCAGTGCCTCCAGGTAGAGCTTGGGAAAGCTCTTGCCTGAAACCCTGGAGAGATGCTGCCAATCAGTGTAGACCTTGTCAAGCTAGAAGGGCCAATGGCTTGACTCGACAGCTTCCTATATTCCTAGGTTGCCTAACCTACTCCTAGTCTGCTGCCCAGAACAAGTCCTGACAAGGATCCTCTGGCCTTTTGCAGGCATAGGTAGTGTGATTTGGAGATCAGGAGAGAGGTAGCCCAGCCCAGCCCACCTCACCCCACACTCTTAGGTGACTTTTGCTTTTCTTTATCTTGCTTTTCTTTATCTCGACACTGACTCTGCCAAATTGCATGTGTCAGGTTGAGAACAGGGCTTCTAGCAGAGGATCCCTGGATTAATGCACAACAGGGTATTGCGGCGTGTGCTTTGTGCATTTCTTTCACGCCCCCCTCACCAAATTATATATATATATATATTTAGAAATAGTTTCCACCTCCAGCAAATTTCCTGGTGTTTTCTATACGGCGTTGCTCTCTTTCCCTTATCTTCACCCAGCCAGCGTGAGATGTTCCCATCTGTTGTGCTGAATGCGCTCGGCTTGGCATTTATGCTGCCAAGAGACTGGAAAGGCAGAGTTTGTAGATTGACTGACAATCCACCTGATATAGTGTCTCCCCCTCCTCCCCATCAACACCCCCCTCCCTTCCCCAGGAGGCAGAAGACACTAGGCAGTCACCGTATCATCCTGGCAATACTTTCCCTGTCCTGGAGAGATAAACCCATCACTCAACAAGCATCCCAAGCAGGTGTTCAGCTACAGTGTGGATTTTCTCTTGCCACCCCTCCTCCCTCCTCTCCCCCCAGCTGCTAATCTCTCTCTTTCTCTCTCTGTGGTATTGCTCATCTTGTCTGAACATCATGCAACACCCCCAGTGTGCCATCTTCTTGAGTCAGCAGAATCCGGGGAGGGGGAGCTCTGGTGGTGCAGCTGTCATTGTCTGCAAGGATGGGAGGGGTGGCAGGGGGGATGGATTTGGAGTCCCAGTGTTGGCTTGTTATGCACTTTTTAAATGGGGGGCGGCGGCGGCGAATGGTTTCTCTTAAGAGTTGCTGACTCCTTTTTTCCATTCAGAGGGAGAGAATCCCTTCTTTTTCTATTATTATTTTTAATTAAAGATTTCTTGTTACATACAATGGTAGGTTAGGAAGAAAAGAGGGGGAGAGAGGGGGAAAGGTGGGGTTGGGTTGGGTGGTTATGCTTCTATTCTTCTACTTAGTGTATGTGTGGGGTTTTATATCAGCGTTACTTGTAGGGTTCTCTTACTATTCGCTTGTTGTGTTTCCTTGGTGGTGAGAGAGGTTGGGGGTGGCCCCGGATGTGATTGGTTGTCTTGGGGTGGCTGTAGTGAGATTTGTTTTTGTGTGTGAGCGGGGTGTGAGTGTGTGTATTTCTGAATCACAGCAGCTGCCAGGGCAAGCATTCTCCCAGTCCTCCGAGGCTGAGATCCTATGTGCGTTTACTTGAAAGGGAGAGCCCATGACTTTCAGTGGGACGTGTGCACACCACTCATTGCCCTCACCTAGAGGGGAATAAAATAACCAGACGAAACACAATGCTGGGGGGGGGGGGTCAGCTTTCCGGGGTTTCAGACAAGGGACATTCCCAGCTCTACCTGGAGATTCTGCAGATTGAACCAGAGACCTTCTGCATGCAAAACCGATGGTCTTCTTCTGAGCTACAGCCTTTCCCCGGCATTTTTCTGGACCCCAAACCAGATAAGCTCCTGGAGGAGGACCACACTTCCAGCCCAGCACATATGGAGAAAGTTTACCCTGCCAGCCCTCTCCCCACAGGGCACCATACTGGGGAGTCAGCGCAGCTGGGAAACCCAAAGCCCCCCCCCCCCCAGTGGTGGCATCTCCAACTCCAGAACTTTCACCGTTAAATCCAGGAGCAAATATGGTGATGGGTCAGGCCAGGAGGTGTAGCACATACATCTGGTAGCATGAAGATTCCCTTCTCTGTGTCCTACTCACTGAGGAGTATACTCTGCCTCAGAAACCTACTGCTCATTGAGAAAGGGTGGGGCATTGGGGGAAGCTGTAAAGCTTTTCACTTATTGCCTGGCAGTTGCTGGTGCAACTCTCTCTTCTGCCAAATCCCAAGTCCTGGACCTGGACAAGTCCTCTTCTGTTTCCCTGCTGGAGAGTTCACTGGTCTCACCAGGAAGGTAAAGAATCCACACCATCTTGAAAGGGTAGCCCAGGGATGGCCAACCTCTGTATTCTCTGGAATGACCCTGTTCTCCTGATATTCATCTGGGCTTTGAAACAATCCAGAGCCCTGTAATAAAACTGCTGCCACAAAACTGTAAGGGTTTTATAGGCACCAAGGGTGTGCTTGAATGATGTGATGACATTGATTGAGGATAAGGCTGAAAAAAGTGAACATGTTTCATAAGAAGTTCCCTTATGATGAGTCAGGCCATTGGTCCATCTAGGCCAGCGTTGGCTACTTGAACTGGTAACAGTTCTCAAGAGACTTCAGCCTTTCCCAGCACCGACTGCTGTCCGAGATAAATTTAGCTGGAGATGACAGGGACACAACTTATTCTCAAACTACCACTGAATTATGAAAGACCCCTATTGAGAGGCACCTCAGCTGTGCTCTGTTGCCTTTTTGGAATTACATACCTTCAGTTAAAGAGGGATGCAGGTGGCACTGTGGTCTAAACCACAGAGCCTTGGGCTTGCAAATCGGAAGGTCAGCGGTTCAAATCCCCATGACTGGGTGAGCTCCCGCTGCTCAGTCCCTGCTCCTGCCAACCTAGCAGTTCCAAAGCACGTCAAAGTGCAAGTAGATAGGTACTGCTCCGGCAGGAAGATAAACGGTGTTTCTGTGCACTGCTCTTGTTCACCAGAAGTGGCTTAGTCATGCTGGCTACATGACCTGGAAGCTGTACACCGGCTCCCTCGGCCAATAAAGTGAGATGAGCGCCGCAACCCCAGAGTCATCTGTGACTGGACCTAACAGTCAGGGGTCCCTTTACCGTTACCTTTTTACCTTTAGTTAAAGGATGCATTAAATCCTGCAGTTGTGCTACATCATGGGATTCGTAGTCCAATAGCTACCTGTGCCTGCACTTGTGAAAGGGTTACAATGGCAGAAAAAAGCGAAGACAGCTTGGCATATTTTTGGGTAGCAAAAATGGCTTAGATAGCATGAGACTGCAGTTAATTTGGCAGAAATCAAAAGCTGAAACACGCAAGTGATTCAGAGGTCACAACTCATCAGTTCCCCACCCCCCTTAAAGCTTCAAAAGGTTTAAAATACAAAGTGCTCATTTATGTAAGCATGCTAGGATGTGGAGTGAGTGCTGCCTTTCTTGAACCAGGACTGAGGAGGGATGCACAGAATTTGTTCAAGTATTAATGAAACTCCCTTTCTGGCATTTTCCATAAGTATTCAAGAACATGAACCTCTGAGGACCCTTTGAATTTAATCTTAGGTGAAATCATTCACCTAGAGTTATGTGGGACCCTCATGTGATTTTTAATATTTAAAAAAATCTTATCTACCCTTCTGTTTTATTTCCAAATGCTTCAGAAGTTTTGCTCAAGGAGGCAAAGTTAATATTCACCACAAATTTAGCTTTAATGTGAAACTTCAGTAGGTACTCAAGGACTGAGGCATTCAGAATTCCAGCTCCAGTAGCTGAATCTCCTCCTGATAACAGAGGCTTGCAGCCAATGTTATTCCTACTTAGGAATAGACCCACTGAAACTAATGGATGACGGATGTGGGTCTAGGCAGAGTAAAACTTGGTTGCCTACCAATTGTAACAGAGGAGGCAATAAACCAGATCCATGCCCTTCCGAAACATAATAAAAATTGACCGCGGTTCTATAAATCCAGGGCTTTTTTTCAGCTGGAACTCACTTGAGCTCAGTTCCAGCACTTTTCAGGTGGGCACCATCGCCATTATAAGAGAAAAAAGGAGGTGTTCACTGTGAGCTCTGGCACCTCTTTTTCAATAATAATAATAATAATAATAATAATTTATTATTTGTACCCCACCCATCTGTCTGGGTTTCCCCAGCCACTCTGGGCAGCTTCCAACAAAGATTAAAAATACATCAAAATGTCACACATTAAAAACCTCCCTGAACAGGGCTGCCTTCAGATGTCTTCTAAAAGTCAGGTAGTTGTTTATCTCTTTGACATCTGATGGGATGGCATTCCACAGGGCTGGTGCTACTACCGAGAAGGCCCTCTGCCTGGTTCCTTGTAGCTTTACTTCTCACAGTGAGGGAACTGCCAGAATAGCACTGTATAAATCTGTTTGCCCCTTTGATCCAACACATTTTTAAAGATTCCTTTCTGGGCATGTCTTGAAACATTCATGAGACCAGTTCAGTGGTACTTTGCATTATCCACAGTAGGGCTGGCCCAAGACTGATTTCTACTGCAAAGGACAAGATGCCTCCCCCTCCCCGCCCCCATTCAAAATGCATAAGCCAAGTGAACCGCCATCCAAATCTTCCCTCAACCCTGGCCATGGGACAGAACCCTTCACCATAGCTGATGAGGGTAGCAGGTCACTGTAGATCATTCATGATGGTTCTTGTGGCATACGTAGCCTGGGGGCTCAGGGAGAACATCTGGGATGGAGGGGAGCTGCCACTTCATAGCACTTGCCGCCTGAGGCAATTGTATCACTCTGCTTAATGGTGGGGCCAGCCCAACTTGCAAGTACATCCATGACATCCTC